CCATATGCATAATTGTGTATGGGCATTTACGATATCAGTTAGTAGCTATGCGCATAATGCGCATAGGCACATCTCTAGACATAATGTATTCTGAACAAATGTCATAAAAGAATTAGTCTAACTGAATGTCATTCTGTTTTGAATAAATGTCCAAGGAATAAAAGAGCATACACGCATTTATTTTTTTAATAGAATGTAGTGTTTTTCTGACCCGAAATATAATACCAAGACGTGATGGTGACTGATAATTGACATTATTATAAGAATGGTTTCAGGCGCAAATTGAGTCCTTTCTTGATTACCAAAATTAGAATTTTTATCTACCTATTTTCTTATATCACCGAACAGTAATTCAACTCTGCTTCTATATATCTGATACATTTTTCTTCAAAAATATTAAAATATTTATAGTATAAATTACAAGAAAATTATTTAATATTTAACATTTATTATGTAAAATTTGAAATGTTTTAACAGCCAAAATTTCAAAGATAAATTTTTTCTTTAATAAAACTTTCTTGCTACACAAATTTGTTATGCATCTGAACTTTGGTCCTATTCAGCGAAAGAAATTTTGTCAGTTTAAATTTTAATGAGTGTATAAATAAAATTTCGTATTTTAGAATTATGATAATTTTAAGAGTACCTACCATAATAAACTACTTTGTGACAAATTGGGGGGGGGGGAAACATATATTACCTCATTATGAATTAATATAGAACTGAACCCTCCCCGCTGGTTTTTTTAAAAACATGATATTTATTGTATATATCTGAGACAAATCCCACCCGACCTTATTACCTCATAAGAAAACAATAATATTTATGACCCGCGTTTTTTTTGAATTAGTCGCTCAGTTTAGATTTGGTGCTTTATTGATATTACTGTTCTATATTATTGGTATATGGTCATTAACACGGTCACTCTATTATTAATTAATACAAATATTGTATTTAATGATATTTAAAACAAAATAATTTGAAAACGATGTATTATCGTTGATTTCGATATGATTGGAAAACGAGTTTTTGGATTGGATGATTGTGATAAAAATGTGGTTACAAAGAAATATTGAGATTGTACGTAAGTATCGGGAATTAAATTAAAGATCCATCACATAGTGAATTTTGAATCAACAGGATATGCTATATACTGTACATGTAATTAGAGAAAGCATTCTCTATAATCATCATATTATTTGTGGAACCGAGATGCAGGAACTTTTTCGCATACATGTATAATGTAAAAATACTACACAATTGTTTTGTATAATTATAAATACTTTGTTGATTTTCCTAAAGATAAATCGGGGGGAACTTTTTACATATCATCTAAAACAACCATAGTCATTGATTTGTATTTATTATACATATTACATGTATGTCAGGAAAATATTAAGGGACAAAACATGTTATTTCTTGACAGCAACATTCTTTTTAAGAGAACAGCAAAATAAACAAACAATATACAACCCAAATAACACATTCATATTTGTATTTCTTACAAAAATAATACCCTAGCCACGGCAAAAAACAAAAGGTCTGAGTTAAGATTATTTTACACATGAGGAGAATATATAGTAAATTTTGCAAGGAACATTTTCATTAGAACACAGAAAGAAGTTTCATAGGCAAAATTTCGAGATACAAGTATTTTTCAAAAGTAAATGAATTTTTTCGTTATCTTAAAAAAATCATGTTACTAACAATTTTTTTGCCGTGGCTAAGGTATTAAGGTCGATCTTTTTCGATTTGCATAAATGAGACGTCAATTAACGTTAATCATTAAAAATGTATTTCTTTTACTCTTAGAAGTGTCTCATGCATGATTTGGTGGACAATGATTTTGGATAGACTTGACGATTTTTTTACATAATTACCAAAAACACCGTTCGCAGAGAGCAGGTGGGTGTATGAGTGTATTACTTTATTATTTAAGTACCTAATATTAACTAACTTTGTATGAAATGCAGTTTGCCTATTCAAAAATAACGATAAAAAATTATAACATCTTCCTTGAGTCATCTGGATACAAATCCCGAAACAACAATAAACTGGCGATATGCATATACAGTAATTAAGAAATAAAAAGATATTAATATATTTATAAAAATCTAATTATATTTTATAAATATTATTAGTTTCAACAGGACGCTGTATGATTATATGAATGTGTTCGTAGTCTGGCGCGTAGGGAAAGTATTTGGTAATCTCCGAAAGTGGAAGTAGTTCCACACCACCAAGCTCCTCCTTGATATTAACGTTAATTTCTGTGTTGACGAGTCTAATAAATTTTTTGTTTTGTACATTGATGGGAATGTTGACCCTCCATAGCTTGAGATCTCTTGCCTTAACATTATCGTCAATTTTTTCCTTGATAGCATCCCTGAAAAAACTAACTAGCTTCGTTGAACCTATTTCAACCGCGAAAGCATTTTCATAAGGGTTTTCGCCTACGATCAAACAACCAATAGTGATAGTTGACATAGCGCTTTTATAGGAATAATTGGTTCGTATAAAAAAAATGTGTGTTACGTTCCGGAAATAAAAAATTATTTCTAGAAAAACAATCGTTAATATGTTACATAGGAATTGTATCATTACACGTGATCCACTTTCTCAATAAAATAATACATGTTGATATATATGTATATGTATGTAATTATGTAATTGTGGATGGTATAACAAATCCTACTATGAATTTTGCTATATTTGTTAATATGATAGTGTATTTCAAATTTTAATACAATTACACTATTTTTTTTTTACATACATCTATATCTTTTATCATTTTTTATATTGATATTTTCTTGGATATAATTTGAGTAAATTATCGAATTGTACATGTACTTGTATAAATTTTCAATCACAAAAAGTATCGCCGGTTTTAAAATTAAAAATAAACTCCGGGTACATATTCAATTTTCTAATTTGACGCTGCATTAATCCTTCTTGGCTTTGAAGCAATAATCCCTTCTAAAACAGACACATCGAATTTCTCCTTTAATGCGGTGCGGTCTCAAGTTCAACCACATAGTCTTGGAAAGGGTCTCGTTCGTTTTTTAGATGTTCTTCTTCAACAACTCTCAATTGGATTCAGGTCTGAGAATTTGCTGGCCAGTTAATTTTTTCCGCAGTAAGAATCGGCGGTAGCCGTATCTGCTTTCCAATTTCAACAATCGTCTCCTCTGTGAAAATAACTTTCACCCAATCGTATTTTTATTTTGCTCAAACATATGCACGTGTATCCGATGTATAATGTTTCTTTGCTGCGATATGTGAGTTAGGTCCGGAGTTGTACAGTGAATGTTGCGACAGTTAACAAACTGCAATTGAGACCTTAATTGCACGTCGTTTCTCGTTGGCTTCATACAAGTAAATCCCTTTCGAGGTATCCTGAGATAAGTTTTCCTATCTTGTTGCATTTGACAATAAAAGCGGCGGCGTATTGTTGTGTAGTCATGTTCAAAGAAATTTTTGCGACTTTCCATGTACGCCCTTTTTTCAAATTCATTTAGTTACGTACAAGTGAATGTCATTTTTAGTCTTTGTATTGATTTTAAAAAATGGTCATACATGGATATTTTTGGGATATTGTTACATGTACATGTACAATCTTCGATTATATGTATGTTACATCGTAGATATTTGGAAGCTAGATTTAACGGAAAAAATGCAAAGTTTCCTATTCTTGTTCTTACTATTCCTAATATCATCTTTACTACTAATAAGTAAAACACGAATAACCGCACAAGCATACAACATCTACAATTTCACCGAAACTGAACCGGGTTTAACACAACAAAATGCCCAACACTTTGACGATTTATCACTTTTTCTATGGCTGACCAAGCAAAATCAAAACAACACCTGTTTTGAGCCACGACTATATTTCCGAATAATTCGTCCAGACTTTAGTGTCATACGAATAGATTTCGATTTGTCTCCGCAAATGTTAAAATTGACGTGTAACAACGGGAGCATGACTAATAAGGTTTTTGGCCGCGTTATGAAGGCACCGTATTTTCTGGTGTCGTATGTTAATGTAACGAATAAAGTTGGTACGGATAATGAGTATGATTATTATCGTGTTGGATTATTAATTGATTGGGAGGGAAATATCAGTGAGTGAGTATTCTTTTTTTGGTTTAACTTTTTATAAAAAGAAATTTTCTAATTAGTTTTTCTTTTTGCAGTTCCTTTCAAATGACTCCAATACAAGATTTTTCAAGTGCGGGGATATTAGTTAATAGTCTTAAACCTGATAATGGATACTTTTGGTTATATGCCTCCTCAATCAATAATACACTTGCGTGGAGAAAGTATAGCACAGTGTAATTATCATAAAAATAAGTCCTATTATACCTCTAGTAATATTATTAATTTTTTATGAATTTAAAATATGCAGCCATAGAAATGGGACAATCACAGAATTATCAAGTGGTAATTTCTCAATCGCAGCAAGCTCGGCGATTCCATTTGCGATGCTAGACGGGGGCTACGGCCTAGCATATACAACACACAAGCTATCTGAAACACAATCAAATAACTCTAATATTTCTAACATTTTATTTTCGAATTGGGGAGCCTATGTAACGTTCTTACGACCGGATGCTGACGAATTCATGCCATCCTTTATCTTATACGAGACAGCAGCGCAACTAAGTGAATTTGTCATTTACTCTTGCAACGCGCCATATGACGCCGACGGATACAAGTGTTTGCTGAGAATAGAAGCAAAGATTGGCAATAACACGCAAATTCTGTTTAAGCAAGTGTGGTTTTTGACTAGTGGATCAGTGTTTAACATTGAAGATATACCGTTGGCGAAATCCAACTATGAAGTTGACGATATTTGGGCTCTGTTTTATGGTGGATTTTTGATGACCTTTTATAATAAGAAGGGAACAGATAATAGCAGTGTTACTGGGCTTATTTATGATTCAATGGGGAATCCTAATGGAGCATGGGATATTCCGGACAATGTACGTGTGTCGGATGTTTATGATATATTGCCGAATAATAGTTTATGGGGTGTTTCTACAGTTACTGATACAAGCATTAGTATTGTGACCGTTGATCTGAAGAGATTTAACTCTGGTAAATATTTTCTCTTGCTTTCTAAGTTTCTCGCTAAGATTACCAATTAAATAATTGCTGGTTTGGATAGATAACGGATACGGAAACCCTAAAATACTCAGTACAAACCCAGGAATCAACGTTACTGTCCCCGATACCCTAAAAAATATTACTTTGACATTCATAAAACCTATTGCACTATCGTCCGGAAATATCTCAATCTATCAAACAGGCATAAACGGGGATGATTTATTACGTCAAACATTTTACGGATTAAGTGATTTGGTGACAACGACCGATGACGCATATAGTGTCTCCATTCAAATTTTTCCGAGTACGTTTAATCAGCCGGGTGCTAGCTATTATGTGTTGATGGATAATGATTTCGTGAAAGATAGGCTACTGGATGAGCCGATTCGTGGGATTGAGAAGAATGGGTATCAGTTACATAGTGGTCAGTTGATTTTTCACGTTGCTTTTATTAAATTCAACGTGGTTTATTTTAAATGACCTTATTTGTATTTTATGTTAGTCAATTACTTTGACGGTTATTCAGGTATAAACTATGTCTAAAAATTATAATTTCTTAATGTTCAATAAATTTTCCTAACGTAAAATATTTCTTTAGAAGGAACAACCTGTCGACTTCGATTAACTCCCGAAGGCTCTGACTACTTTAAAAGTTTATCAGATAATGACAAACATTCACTATTTACTGCAATTGTCAATGAATTAACCAAAATCACACCTATTGAAGCCGGTCGTCTTAGCACCTCAAAACGCTGGCAGCAAGATGCTAAAACACAACAAGTGGTCATGGAATTTAAAGTTGAAGAATCCCAAAGTTCAAGGATTAATACCGAGCGTATAATTACGGATATTGATTATTTGGTGCGGTCTAAAGCTTATACGCCGGTATCATTATCAAATTCTACTTACATGCTTGATGAAACTTATGGATTTATGCGCACAGGTTCGTGCTTTTGAATTTGGTTTTGATATTTACGAATTTGAGATGCTATTACGTGTATTTATTAAATATATCTTTTGTGTAGTGGATTTATGGGAGAAGTACAAGTATAAACTATTCTATCTGGGCGGTATAATAACAATTATTACCGCGATATTTTTGTTTGCTTATTTACGATATCCAGAGGTAATTTGAAAGTTTTTTTAGAGATAATAAATTTTGATTTCCATTTAACAAGTAATATCTTTTATTAGGGAAATAATTCGATTGTTTTTCAGCTCGCATTGATTTCAGTGGATTTCACCCTTGATATTCTTTTTATTGTAAACAACGGGCATGATGTTTCAATTCTATTTTATCCAAGGTGAATCATCATATTTTGTCTCTTTCGTTGTCATTCCAATATTTTATTAACGACCCCAATAAACCGCTATGCACAGTATCTCCATCCTTTGCTTCTCAGTAGCATTCAATGGAATCTTAGCATTTTTGATAATTCTCCGAGAAATTGCGCGAAACGAAGAATTTTCAAAATGGTTTAATTCAAACGTCCGTATTACCACAATTTTCACCATCATTAGTGGTGCCGATGTCGATTCACTAAGAATACTCGGCTCACGATTCGCAGGACTAAAGATTTTTAGTGCCCCGTTTTCGATAAAAGCTACTGGATGGATTTTTTGGGGAAGTTTTGTCACATTGTTTATTGAAGATATTCCACAGTTCGCCATACAAGTAAATGATAAACTTTAAGCTACTCTATTTCGAAAATATTATTTCACTAACGCTAACCAACAAAATACATTGTGATAGGTCTTATACAGAAAATATACAATCTTTTACGACATCATCCCCTTTCTGACTTTAGTAACCTCATCAATAATACTTGTCAACAACCTCATATTTCGATCATACCGCGCATTCAATTATTGCCATAATCGCGACAGGAAATACACACCAACCTCACAAAATCTTAACGAAGAAGATAAGTCCGAAATTTATGATGCGCCAATAGCTTTTGCAGCAGCAGGTAAAAAATCTTTTCATATTGGAGCAGCATTTAGACTTTGTTTCGGATCGCCAAAAGCAACAAATACTCGTGAGTTTGAGGCCCGTGAGTTTGATGCTCGTGAATTTGATACTGAAGTCATATTAGACTAGCCTGACCAAAGTTCTGAGCAAAATCAAATTTAAAAAAATCTGACGTGAGATTAAAGACATGGCAAAATGAACTATTTAATATTTTGGAAATCCCTATTATTAGAATAATAGGAATAAAAATTATTTTGACTAATGAACAATCCAAAAATAATAGTCAAACTATTATAACGTATAATTAGTAACTAGAATTTGTTAACTGAACAATAAAGATTTTATTGTTCTTGTATAATCAAAACATGAAATTATTAAATTGGATAAATATCTTGAATCAAATCTCTATAATTACTGTTCTTGAAAAAGCAAAATTGAATAACTATAAAGAGATTTGACTATTATATTTTAATTATAATTACTGAATAATTGGGGAATTCAAATTAGAACTATAAAAATGTGACTTTAGAGAGTCTGACTATATATATATTAAACATAATTATATAAAGTATGTAGCATAATAATGTTAAATAAAACAAATATACATGAAAAATAATAACAATCAAAATTTAAAATTTTTATTATAAAATATAAATAAAAAGTCATTTTCAAAATGATTTTAAATAGAATTGTATATATTTATAGTAATTTAATTCATTGTCATCTTTTGCATTATTATTCATTAATATAAACCTGAACATAATTAAATATATTGTAATATATAAAATGATATCGATATTCAGAAAATTTTCCAACTAAACTTTATATAATACACTTTTTTGTTATAATTTTCTTTACTTTTTAATTTATCTTTTATTTAGTAATATTTATATATTTATTCAGATTAAAAATCAAGACTATATAATAATTAAAAAAATATTTTGAAAAATAAATCTTGAGATTATTATAATTATTATTTTATTAAAAATCTAGAACTTAAAGTGGCCATCAAAAGTAATGCAACGCTTAAATTTAGTAAAAAATTTAAGCGTTGTATTACTTTTGATGACCACTGTATATTAAATTTAAATTAGTAATATTATTATATAAGTGATTTTCTTTGCTTTATACTATAATTTTGAGTATTTTTTATAATTTTTATTTGTATATTTAAAAAAATATTAGCTTTTCACTAGTATTATTATATTATTTATATTTTATTATTTAATATTTATTACTTTTATTAATAAAGCATTTTTTTATTTTTAACTTGTTTTTAATTATTGCTTTTAATTATTTGTCATTCTTTCTAATTAATTATTATGAATTTATCTAATTGTAATTTTTTAGTTTATTAGTTATTATTAATAAAAAGCTTCATTAATTATATATTATTACTTTTAATTTCTTATTATTTTCTTTATTTTCTTTAATATTAAGAGTTTATTATAAATTTATATTTATTTTTATAATTTTATGATTTACTATTTCCATTAGTTATTATCAGTAAAAAAGTTTATTATTTTAACTGATTATCAATTATTACTTTTAATTTCTTATAATATTCTATATTAATTATTATAAATTAAACAAATTTATATTAAATTTATATTTTTTTCAATTTATCTTCTCTATTAATTATAAATTACTATAATAATTTTTTATTTACTAATTCTTTAGTATATTTTTATATTATATATATTTGCTATTATATAAATTAATATTATATATTTAATTATATTTATTATATTTAATATTATTATTTTATTCTTATTTATAATTTTAATTATTTTTATTTTTTAATATTATTTAAATATTTATTTTTTAATAATCTCTATTTAATAATAACTTTGAAAAGTTTTAATATTTTTAATTAAACTTTAATAATTTTTTCTTATAATAATAATTTTTAATAATTTACTATTTTAAAATAAAATAAAATTTTATTTTTATTATACTTATTTTCTTTATATTTCTTATTTATATAATCTGAAATATATAAATTATTTTATTATTATCTATATTTATCATAAGTAATATAGCTTTATATAATAAATCTCTTAAACTTAATTATATTAATTTCTTTTTTATATATCTTTTTTAATTATAAAAATTATATTTAATATAATTATAAAGTTATATATTAAAAAAAATATTATTATAATTATATTTGTATTTTTATAATTAAATATAATATATTCTTAAAATATTTTATAAATATTAATATATAAAATATAATTATATATTACAGTAACCATTAAAAATAATGAATACTTAAATTTTTTATTAATTATAATTAGTAAAATACATATTTTTTTTTATATATAAATGTTTTTAATTTTATTAACAAATATTTTTTATTTTTTACTCAAAAAATAGCTAAAATTCTCTAGTTTAATATATATTTTTTTTAGATTTTTCAAATTTTTATTGGCAACTTGTTCTAATTTCATATAAAGTCAATTAATTTTTACTAATTATTAATTAATAAAATTAATTAACTTTATATATAATTAGAATAAGTTATCAATGAAAAAATTTGAAAAAAATATATATTAAACTAGAGAATTTTAGCTATTTTTTAAGCTAAAAGTAAATATTTATTAATATAATTAAAAACTTTTATATATAAAAAAAATATATTTTAATAAATATAATCAATAAAAAATTTAAGTATTATATTACTTTTGATAGTTACTATATATAAAAATAATAATAATATATAATTTTTTTAAAAAATAAATATTAAATAAGAATATAAATATAATATTAAATTAATACTTATTATAAAATATATATAATATTTTTATTTTATAAATTAATAATTTTTCAAATTTTTTATTTTTTTATATTTAATTTTATTAATTATTATTTATAATAATAAAATTTATTTTAAATTATATTATATTAATATTAAAAAATTTATTATAAATATATATAATATTTTTTTCTATTTAATTAATTAATTAATTAATATTTTCTTTATTTAAATATAAGAATAGTATTTTATATTATTTATTACTAGTTTTTAAATTAAATTTTTTTTAGTAATATAATAAATAATAATTAAATTATAATTATATTTCTTTAATTAAGTTTTATTTATTCTTTTTATATATATTTTTTATATATATTATTTTTTTAAAATTAATTTTATATTGAATAAATAATTAATTATTATGGGTTGGTGCAAAAAGATTTGTACCTCAATATAAAAATTAATAATTGCTTCTAATAAAAATCATTCAAATTTTAACCAATCT